AATGTCTTTACTGAAAGAGTGGTGAAACATTGGAACAGTCTGCCCAGGGAAGTGGTTGAGTCCCCATCCCTGGAGGTATTTAAAAGACATGTAGATGAGGCACTTAGGGACATGGTTTAGTGGGCATGGTGGTGTTGGGTCGACGGTTGGACTCGATGATCTTAGAGGTCTTTTCCAACCTTAATGATTCTATGATTCTAGGTCGTGGGAAAGGTAGGTCCTCTCCTACTATGCCCAAGCTACAATGTGTGTCCTATTAGTACACCAAACCTATAGTAAGACTGAAATAAGGCAAGGGGTTTTTTTGGATCAATTTATTTTTGGTTACATTTTAAACTGCATGTTTTCTTTCTAGCTTCTGGAAAGAAAGTAAGTCTGAAAAAAATATTTTGGAAGATATTTTAGAAAAGGAAGATTTGTTTGAAAAGGTGAACAATCCCATCTCTCAAAAAGACAGAAATTCAGAAAGACATAATTTGATGGATAGGTTTTAGCCACCTTGACCCAGGACATGGTACTAACGGTCACTAGTGATCTAAATCCTTCCGGGCTCCTTGTAGATTAAGCATATTTTGTTTTTATGTTGTAAACAAAGAAATTAAAGGCAGTTCATGAGAGAAGCTTTGCACAAATTCACACATACAAGACAGGATGGGAATATCAAGCCTGATCTCCAACACAACGTTAAAGCCAGCAATTAGCTCCACGTTAGCCTGGTCCTGATCAGCAAAGCTGTACTGACTTCAGACCACAGAGATCTGGCCAGATTTAAAACACACAAAAAAACCCCACACACAAACACATAACTTTCTGCAGCTTACCGATGTAGCTTTTCTGTCTTTCTATGCCAGAAGTATAAAATATTTTAGAACAGACTGTTCAAATTTGCTTGCAGATTTATAACTAGAACATTAATTCTCTGTGACACTTACTTTTTTCCCCTGTTTTTCTTTTAAGATACTATCTCCTGTGACATAGTAGCAATATATCAAAAACTGTAATTATGCAAAACCTTAACTAATAAAGCAAATGCCAAATTACTTCAAGGAAGGTTAGCAAGAAGGGGTATTTCATTAAGCTCGGGTAGGTTTATGTGACGTAAAATGAATACAGGACATTCTTTTGTATACATTTGCAATATCAAAAACATTTATTCTACACCCACTTTCTGTAACTGTTTTCAAGGTGATATTTCAGATGGAAGTAAGGAAACATGCTCTGAAATTCATTTTCTTCAATAAGAAACATACAGTGACAATCTCAGCATTTTCATTGGTGATTTTTTATTACTAAAAGCCCTCATACTTCTAAATGTTATATCCCAGTAACTCTTTTTTAACCCTTTAATTTGTTAAAGGATTTTAGAACTCATTCACAGCATAATTTTATGCAAGAAAACCTGTGATGTAACCTGCTCTCTCTTTTTCTCCCCTCTCCCTCTTTATGGCTACAAAATGCAAACATTAAACAAGAGGGAGGAAAGAAAGAAACTCTACTGGTTTGTAAAGAACACATAACATCACTTGTACAAATTTGCAGGCAGTGCCATTTTCATATAAAAGTGACTTATTTCAGTGGAAAAAACAACTTACTTGTTGTGATGCCCAAATTTGAAGATGGTCAAGTCCAGAAAGCAGAGCTGCAAATATAAGGAACGGGTATATTAATGGCATTCTCCACAAATGTAGGTGCTTGCATAGCTATATTATGCAAAGTAGTTGCAGAAACAACAGATCACACAACAAAATAACATTCCCATTTCCTTTTGATGCATTTAATGTTGTCAGTAGCAAAACCATCCCTAGCTCATTCTAAAGCATGTGTTGTATTTTACATGTTGGACATCACTTTGTATAGACTATGATGCGATCAAAACACTACAGCTCTTAAATGAGACATTTGCAGGCTCTGCATTGGATTTCAAAAGCAAATTAAATGAAAAAAGTGAAGCACAAACTTTTTGCCTATTTTTTTCTATTCTTATTTCCTACAGGATCACGTACCTGTCCAAGGAAACAACCGTAGTGACATAAGGTATTTCATAGATATGCAGCCAGTGCAGCTCACTCAGTGCCAAAGAGCAAAGAAAAAGCTTGTGGGAGCAGGTCTGGGCTCTGATCTAGTAGCATGGCTCTCTGTTGAATATCCCTGGGTGCAGGGCACACAGATAGCAGAAGACAACAAATGTAGAACTTGGCTAAAAACTCTTCCCCCAGAAAAAGCACAAAGGTGAGTTTAAAATGGAGAAGAACAACAGAAGAATACCTACACACATCTCTCTGTAGTGCTAGGAAATACTGCTAGTCAGACTATAAGCATCAGATCAATGAGCCCTGCTGAGCTTACTAGCTTTAATAAGTTACTGAGCAGTGAGTACATTCTGTCTGCCTGGTAGCGGTTCAAATCTATACCCCTGCTCCCCAAGCTTATTTCTCAGCAGTTATGGGAAGTATTACAATTAAATCTTTATCAAAAGATAATAGAAAATACAAAGAGGAAACAGAATTGATAAGAGACACAATGTCTTTTGCATACTCTGGCCAGACATACCTTAGCCTTGTATTGATCCTACAGGTTGTCCTTAGAGTACTTTGCAAGCAGAATCAAGCTTGACTGGCTCATTACCAAACCAGACACAAGCTCATGCCTATGCTACAAGATGCTCACAATTTGTACAGCAAAAACCCTGAAGTAAGATTCCTGGCCTCGCAGGCAGGTCTAGCACACCACAGAGCTCAAGGCAGCTACAGTAATGCCCCTTCCCAACAGCTCAGCATATAGGCAGACCAAGGTGATTTCTGCCTGAAAACAACAGTACGAACTTCTGAGAAACACTGCTTCTAGGCAGTATAATACCTAGAACATCATCACAGTGTTCATTCAGACTTTGGTGCTCTGAACCATGTCACTTTAACGGGCTAAACAGAGTTCACAATCTCTGTTCTAAAATACAGCTACCATCAGTGGTAAGGGAGGTGACATTTACCCAGGATGTAGGGAACCCAGGTTCTGATCTTTCCTCTCCCTGAAGGGGCTCAAGCCCACATTGCAGGGAACTTCTGATAAAATTCTGATAAAAGTTGCGGTACTAGAATCCTACTGAACTCACCTGCAGGTTATATATCGAGCCATCTGTACTGGAGGAGCTTGCTAAAGGAATGCTCTAACCTCAGATGATTTGGTGCAACTATCTTATTATTAGTGAATTAGAAGGGCAATTCAGCATAGCTTTCACTTCTTAAATCATTCAACTATATATTTTACATAAGTACCTTAAACAAAATTATAAACTCATCACATCAAAATTTCCAAAACACCTTCCTTTCCTTTTCCTTTCTTCTAAAATATATACCTTCCCTTCACTCAAAACCTCCTGAAACTTCAGCATCCCTATATAATAGCAGTTATTTGCTCAATTAGCAGTTACCACATCACCTGTTTACCCTTTAGGACAACTCAAACCCATAGGGATTCAAGACTGTAATCAGCAGCAGCTGCTAAATGAGCTGTTAAACCCTATCTGCAGGGGGGCAGGAACTGCTACTTGTCCAAGTTGGGCTACCCTTACTCAAATCACCTATATGGCTAATTTTAGATGTGAATATCTCCCTCCAAAAGTATGGAATATTTTTCCTGGTATTTCTTCTCTATAGTGTTCTCTAAAAGATCATTTTGTCTAGTTGGAAGCACTGCATTTTATTTGCAAGTACATATCCTTGGCATGCAAAGAAAACATGGTGTTAAACTTGAATTTGCAAATCCCCTTGACATAACAACATGATTAGAGAACCAGAGAAACCTGAAACAGCCATTCCATTAAGAATCATTAATAAAAAGACAAGTCTCTGCTTGCAGTCTGTATCCTCAGAAGGACAGCTATCTGCTATTCTTTTTAAGCAACTGAGCAGTTGTCATCTCTAGGTCACAGTTGCACTGATTTGTAATCACTATCAGCAAAAGTAGAAAAGCATTACCGAGTCTGCCAATTAATTCAGCGCAAATTTCCAGTAAAGATGGACCAGTGGAGAGCCTTGGCCCACTTCCTTCTGAGTTCAAAGGAAATACAGAGGGGGAGATTAAAATGTGGTGATCTGAGCCTGTACTTGTCTTCTTAATAGAAGGTGCATCACAGAACAGCTATCACAGTTGCTCTCTGGAGAAGCTGGCAAGTAGCAATGGCTTATACGCTGCACTTCAGGAAATCTGTGCCAAACTTCTCCAAAAACCAGGTGCCAAAAGCTAGATTCTTGTCTGTGTTTATGCACATAGTTGAATGAACTGCATTTGATTAGCTCCCATGAACTTTAGTTTAGAAGCCTGAATCACAACTGTGCAAAGTTTTAATTAGATATTCGGTCACTCTGCCCTTTCTTAAATTCCAGCCATTTATTTGCATGCTTATACACAAAGCTGGAAGCTTAGGTCTAGGAGGTAAAGTGAAAAATATAAACCTCCCCAAGCTAGTGACAGATAACTAACCTCACAAGGTAGCATAAGAAATCATTTCACCAGGAGAAGCCCATTGCTGAAAGATTGGAGTTTAGCAGTTAACTAACCATGGTGCAAAATGCTATGTTAGTACTGACTGGTAATGAAGTGATTTTAAAGAGCTATTGTGATTTTCTCATTAAACGTGACTGCTACAATATGTCTTGCCAAAGAGTAGTATAGTTTTGTCCAAAAATGGTGTATTAACTTCCAGAAATAGTGGCACATCCTCAGTTTCGGTTTAAGAAAGAGGATGGAACAAAAAGCGCATCTGATGCCTATGCAAATATTTTCTTTCCAGATCCTATTAGTCCTTAAAAAACACCTTGTTGACTAAATTCTGGCATCAGGCTAGGAAACAGTCTGAACCTACAACAGAACGTGAGATAAGACCGTTTTTCATAAATTTTGTGATTCAGTACATTCAGTTTGTACTGCAGTTTTTTCAGATTTATTGCAGTTTCAGCTCAGCTCAATGTATTGTATGCAGAGGAACTATCTCACATACAGTGTGAGTTGTCCAAGCATACAAGATGGGCAAGCAAAATTTTGTGTACCTTTTCCTGCTTATGTTTTACATAAGTCAATATTAGTCAAATCTTCGGTAGTGTTTGGTGCAATTCACAAATGCTGCACCTATTCCTTAAGTTTCCTTTTCACTACTAAAAGGAAAGAAAAGTATTCCTGTCAAGAGAAAAAAGAAATTGCTTTGCAAGAGCACACTAATCCCTACAGCCCTCCTTTTACAATGTACATTTCAGTACTATGTAGCAAATCTCAGCTGTAAGCATAGGCATTATAAAACTACCCAATTCATCCTCAAAGGAACTGCTTGCCAAATTTAACAGTCAAAAACTTGCCTCCTGTTTCCTATTCCCCTCTAAACATACACATACTTGAAAACAAGAAGTCATGGCACTCTGCAAGCCATGTGATACCCAGTATCTTTCCTGACCTTCTCAATGTCTCTTTTCCTTTTTCTCCCTCCCACATCTCTCTTTTACCATTCTTGTGTTTTGCAGTTATGTTCTCAAATTGAATTATCTCCAATTTTTATCTTTCCCCTATTAGAGGAAGGGACAGTTTGTACCCAGCTATCTACCCTATTATTTGAGATTTCCTTTCCTATTGCAGGAATGATTCAGCTGATAATGAAACAACTGCTGAGACTCCACAGCATAAACCAGCAATTTTAGTTTATCTTGATACGATACACTGCAAGTCTTGATAGGGGCTCAGGTGCTGGAAGCTGAGCTCTCCTCCCTGCAGCAGGCAGATGGCTGAAGTCAGGAACTGCTGCAGCCATCCAGAGAATGAAGTCCATGTTCTTCAGCTAGATTTCATGGACCTTTTTGACGGACTTTTACAGGACTGCAGTAGTTCCACGTTCTTGTCATGAGTTTGCTAGTAAAGCTAGTAATAAGTTAACATTCATGCTAGAGGAAGTCACTCAAACCCTGACTGTGTCTTTCTATGAAAGACTTTCCTATGAATTGAGGATTAAATAAATATTTTGGTCAATAATGTAAAATACTATTTTATGCAATGTAAGACTTATCAGATAAGTTTACCTGGAAATATGTCAAATGTTTGCACCATGATTAGTAAGGTAAAGCCAGGAAATCACAAACAGGAAAAAAATCTTATATTGTATGAGTTAAACAAGTCCTCTGACTCATTCTCTGAAAGTTAAAAGAGTAAGCACATTTCTTTTCCAGCTACACGAATAATACAACTGCAATTGGACAAGAAGTAGAGGGTTGTAATAAGATGGTGTTTCCCAAATAAGTTCATTACAGTCACCAAAAATATCTGTGAACAGGTTGCATTTAGTGGCTCAATACCTCTATGGCAATGATCATTCGTTAGGTCTCTATGTTCAATCCACAAGCATTAAGGTAACATTAATGTATTTTGGCAGAGTAACCTCCCTGAAGATATTTCAGTGGGAGAGTCGCCCCTCCAGCGTGGGCCTGGCACCCCTCTGCCGGCACGTGAGCCCCTGCCTCCGGGCAGGCCTGGCAAGGGGCCTGTACCTGTGCCGTACCCCGTGCACTCTGTGACTTCTCATGCGGGAATAAATTGCACTTCTTCCTGCCCAAAACACGCATTCTTATCCTTTCCTGTGTTGTTTGTCTGTAGAAGATTTTAAATGGCTAAAGTCGGAATATTTATAGTGGTACAAATTTTTCCTTCTCTGGTGACCTCCCCCTGTCACAGGCCTTCCCCTGCAGAAGGAGCCATGGGGGCAGCAGGGCTGGCGGCCTGCACAGAGAATGAGCTGGGGCGGCAGTGGGGCCCTGCCCTCTTCAGCCATCCCTGTCCCACAAGGGAAGCAAGCCGGGAGGGCTAGGATGGCCACAAGGTCGGCCGTGGTGAGGGGCCAGGCCCGGGAGGCCTGTGGGCCTACCTCCATGGCCTCAGACATGAGAGGAACGTAGGCAGCCGCATCCGCGTGCATGCAGACGGGCAGAACCCCAGCCAGCCCTCCCCAGCGTGGCGGGGACATGCCCGGGAGGTTGTTCTCCCAGAAATGGCAAAGCCCACCTAGTTCCTCGATATGCTTTTAGTTGTCATTAGACGTACAAGCAATTCTCACCCCAGACAATGCTAAACTGTGAATATCTGCTCTCATTAAGACAAAGAATTTCCACCATGTCCACCTTGCCAGCCTCCTGCGGTACAGAAGAGCACCTCCTGCTGCAAACCATCGTGCCCTTTGCTTGTTTTTTTTTTTAAATTAATTTCCTTGGTGGTCAGTTTCTTGAATCTGGCTTATTGCTATTTTTTTGAATGCAGCCCAAGAATGTTTCCTTCTCCCCTTACCTGCCTGATGCTTCTGAATTTCTGAGCTCACACACCAAAATCAAAGATTTTTTTTCTCTCAAAACAGCCACCATCATGCACTTCATGTCCAAGAAGCCTTTCCTAGGTTTTGGGTAGGAAGACCTCGCTGGCACTGAGCCTAGAGTTGCGTGAAGAAAACAAGCCAATGCCTCCTAATAATTCTTCATTTGCTTCCCCTGTTTACAGATAAACTATACAGATGTTAAGTGGGATCATCTAATTCTTCTGGTGAGCATGATGAGTTTGCACAAAAGTGTATTTTACCATCTTAAATAACTATCCAAAAAATAAACTAAGCTAAACAATGCGTTTAGTCTTCAAAATTGTTCCAGTATAAGAGAGCTCTTATTCAAACAATATCCCATTGAAAGAGACTTTTATAAAGCCTCTTCTGTCTAGTCATGAGAAGAGATGAGATTCAGGACACAGAATGTCTCCTAAAAGTACTATGCAATTATGAGGGAAATGAAAGACAAACGTTTTGGAAATGAGACAACGGATACAAGTCTCCTTTTCTGAGAACTGGGAACCCGGTTCTTGAGACTGGCTCCTGTTAGGAGAAGGCCTTTCTAGGCTCCTTAAGCAACTTTAGCACTAATATGTAATAACTCTAAGTAGCAAAGCTATACAATAAAATAGGTTTGGTTGTTAGCTATCCTACACAATGAGAAGAAAATAACACAACAGAAATAATGCATTTTTTAAATTTTCAGCATCCCCACAACATCTATTTACAGCAAACCAATCAAAACTCCAATGTTTGTACTACCAAAGCCAAGCCAAAATATATAGTCAGTAGAAACCAAATTATATAGCACTGCTTACATTCTCA